AAAATCACATAAAGCCATATTATAACATCGACTGAGATAAAGATTAAAATGAAATATTAAAATCACGATATATCTCGCTGCAACGAGTACGCTTCTAGTATATATTTATATATATAATCTTAAGATCATTCATCCAAGTTTGTGAAATATATATTTCATGCTACCTGGCGACTAGGGCTGTAAACGAACCGAACGAACACGAACGGAGGCTTGTTCATGTTCGTTCGTTTAACTTAACCGAACAAACAAACGAACATGAACGGTAAACGAACGAAAATCTTTGTGTTCGTGTTCGTTCGTTTAGAAATAAGGTGTGTTCGTGTTCGTTTATGTTCGTTCGTTAACATGCTAAACGAACGAACATAAACGAACGAACATAAACGAACGAACATAAACGAACGAGCTAAACGAACATAAATAAATATTATTTCAATTCAAAGTAAATAAATAAAAGATTATATATTAAATTTAATATATAAACGAACATAAACAAACGAATATAAACGAACTGTAAATGAACGAACGCTCACGAACATAAATGAACGAACGAGACTCTTGTTCATGTTCGTTCGTTTAACTAAACGAACAAAAAAATTTGTTCATGTTCGTTCATTTATTAAATAAACGAATATTAAACGAACTTCCTGCCGAACGGTTCGCTGAACGTTCGGTTCGTTGCGACTATGACACGGGTACAAAATAAAGCTTATACAACAACATGCTACATGAAGGGTGAAAATGATGTTTTGGAACTGAAATGGTGGTTTAGGCGAATAAGTTTGTGAAATCAAAACCTTACAGTTGGACGGAAGGGCCAAACAAACGCTTTTCAAGTCAAACTCCCGGTTGTCGGCTGAACAACTTCACCAACATTGATTCAAAAATTACAAATCTGAATGATTTATCCTTGACGATCTCCTTGCCACGATAAAGAAAATGGCGTATAATTTCTGGGAATCAATCGGATTATCGGTCCACGCTCTTGAGCTCATCCTCGAGGGCTTCACATTCATACCCATCATCCATTATGTAATAGCTTTTGTGTGTTTTCTCCTCATTTTCATCTACAATTTCTTGGAGTTCCATTTCGTTGAAGATGTTCTCACTCTGTTCCGAGGTTCTCCAGTGTCTCTAACCTACAATTCTGCCTCTGAAATTTACCAAGGCGTGGCTTCCAAGTGTAACCTTCTTCATGGCAGGTTCAGTTTTTCTCCTTTTCTATTTCATCTTGTTTCCTATTTCTAGATTCCATGAAAATTCTTTAATTAGTCTGTTATATGATAGAAGAAACAATTGCGTGTTGTGTTTCTTGCATGCTTTGTTTTTCATGGGTAAACATGTCAACCTGTAATCGGCAATGCAATTGTTATGTATGAAAGCATCACATACAAGTATCTCACTAACTGGCAACAGCACTGCATGTTTCATTTTATCTACTGACTAGCTTCCGTAAAGAGTAAATAAGTTCCATGTTTAATCGTTCTAGGAAGACCTCTAACATGTGTTTGGACTAGAAAGTGACATGACCATCGCATAGTGTTTATAGATGTCACCTACCACCATCGGTAGTATGGTTGATCAGTTTGATAATGATTGCAAGCTTGACCCTGTCGTATCTAAGAGGCTCTGCTGAATTGCAAGTTAACCCTTTGGGGTGGCTAACTGGTAAGACATTGGGTTTGCTCCTCAATGGTCACTAGTTTTTGTTGCCTCAAGGCCAGTGGAGGTCTTCTTGGCTGTTAACTTCAGGAACCCATGAGATTAGTCGAGGTGCGTGCAAGCTGAACCGGACACCCACTGTCATAAAAAAGTTGGGGCTCTGCCCAAGTTTGTAATCATGGAGGGGGACACATGTATAAAATAATTTAGTATGAGCACCTCATTGAATAATTGAATTGTTATTTGATTTTAGTTTGCTGTTTCCTAATCACAGTCGAACTAGGACTTCTTATATTTTGGTCGAAGAAGAAGCCAATTTTAGAGTTTGAGCATCACCGGGTAGGGCTCCTAGATAGAGATGGGCAAAGGAGTTCTTGGCACATTTGGGTTTTGTTCTAATTAGCAAACCCAACCCTATTGTTCAGACCTCAAGCTTATGAGAAAGGGGTTGAAGGGACCTAGATTTGGGCTATTGATGTGACTGACCGCTAGGATTCTTCCGCCAGACCAGCCAAATAATGCTAAGCCGTTGGGAGTACCGATTTTCCCATATCAATTCATATAAGAAACCCTCTTTCTGCTCTTTCCACCAGGGAAATGACGTTGCCGTAGCTTTTGTTTAGCTTAAACTAACATTCTTCCTTATTTCCTCGCACATGGACATACTTTTAATATGTTTATGTTGTGGTGCAATGGTGGTAACATAGGTGTAAAGAAATGTTATATATTGTAGGCACATAATTACAGTTCTCATACATGTAAGCATCTTGTTGAATTAACTCAAAAGATTTACTTATCGAAGGGTGCTTAACCTTATATATGATAACAATAAATTTAATGGTGTGATGCTGAGAAATAGAGTGCTACAGCCTACAAGAGAGTTCAACTGATGAAGAACTGAGATGGTTTTTCAATTATTTAGACCTGTTAAGATTGACAAGATACGCTAAGGCAACTTCTCATTTGTTAATTTGAAATTAAAAAAATTTGCAAAAACAGAACAGTGGATTTTTCTTTATTGCTTGTTAAATGTCTAAAAATGAGGGTCTTAGCACAAAATTCAAAGCTAACTGCACCTGTTGTAACTGCTCTTTTTTGTGATGTGAGTCTGTTATAGGTTATTCATAAACTTATTGTTTCTTTAAATTCGATAATTTATGAATTGTTTTTTGTAGTAATCTTTTGTTTTTTTGGTGCTACTGCTTCTAAGGTACATGGCGACACCCTGGCTCTCAAGTCCTCATATTCAAACAGCTTTTTTGAATTTCTTTGGGAGACCTCCTGCAGTAAATTATAGAAGGTACATCTTCTTGGTCAGCTGTTGCTAGATACAACCAATAACAGTGCTGTAATGATCAACATTTTTGAATTATATAAAAGCTCTGTACACAACTATGCTCTGTGAAAAGTACTTTTTGATAAATGCTCATGCGAACATTTAAATAACATGAATTTACCATATTAACCCTTAGAACTATTTGAAACAAGATGCCGTTTGATTAATTTAAGTGCTATATGCTGAAAAATGTTGTTACAACAGATGTAATAAGATGGAGCTAACTAGTACCATGTATTATTATCTAAGCCATCATTTTGCGAATGTTGATATGTGTTGTGTAACAAAGGGTTTTTGCAGTTGTTATATAAGCATAAAATACTTGTTGAATGAATAAGTTTTTAATAGTCATACGAAAGTAATAGAACAAGAGAAGTTTCTGAGTAAGATGCGTACTTGGTGGAGGAAACGCAGAACAAGAAACTGTGTCAAATAAATAAGAAGACATAATTTTTTTAAAATGAAAATGAAAATACACAAGTTCAGAGCAGAAAGAACAATTTCTAATTTCTAATTTATTGCAGTTAGAATGTATATTGATTAAACTTTTAATTAGATGTGTAATTATTATACAGTAGGTACCAGTAATAAACGAAAGAAAAGTATACAAAATGTAACAGTGGTGGACGAAATAGGAATTTGTCAGCTATCGCTAGTCCTTTTTTTGTATTATTAAACCAGCTTAGCATTATATTTAGTGATAATACTCTAGGGGTGCTTGCATCCAATTACCATCATCTACCCTATAAGTGACTGTTCACCACTGACTTTGAGGTAAAGCTGGCATTTCTTTAAAATAATGACATGGCAATCTTATTGGCAAAATCTAATATTGACTTAGAAATAGGTATTTAAATTAAAAATATTTGATCTCGAATCTACTGTGCCAATACCAAAACATTTGGTACAAACAATAGAAATTATTTAACGCAAATATACTAAATATTCCCCCTAGTTATGCTTTGCCCCAACCTCCTCGACCTCCCTTACATGACTAAACAGAAAAAACAGCAATGAATGAAACCCAACCCAAAATTAGTTTAATGTTTTTAATGTCTCAAACTATTACCAGATGCCTACATTTTGATAATGGAGTTATAGATGGGGATGCTTCTGGAGCATGTGCTGATGACTACCTCCACAACTAGAGTGTCAGCAACTTAGCAAGTTAGTAAGCGCTTGCTGGAGATCCCTGCCAATCACGGTGAGGTGGGTAATGCTATTGTGTTTGTAGCCATGTTGCTGCCTTGCTGGCCCATCCAATGGCAAATGTTCAAAGGAAGGTTCAGGTGTAATTGCTCTAATTATTTGTGCTAGTTTTTGTCTAAGGAATGTTACCTTAGCAAAGAGGCAGATGACAGGTAGGAGATTGGTGGGGAAGAGAGGTGGTAGTGGCGGTGGGTGGAGAGCAGATGGGTGGTGGGTGTGGATGGAGGGAGGGGGTGGTTTGTGGGGTTCCACCAAGTTCTCTGTTTTGCACAATATTGATGTCTTAATCTTTTTGAGGAGCAAATCGACATATGGCGAAGAGGTGGGTGATCAAAGTTGTGTGAATGTGAAGTGGAGGCATGGATGAAAGTTGAGAGATTGCGGAAGCTAATCAAAATGATTCTAGTTGCAATTGTATATTGCTTGTGATGTTGAAGCTAATCTAGTTTGAATTTTAGAAGTCATTTCGCTTTTATAAGCTGTACTCTATGCATTTGTACTTGCTCATTTGATTCTAAATATTATTAGGAATATTACTAATGAATGAAATGTGATTTAATTTGCTTTTATAGTACAGTGTCTTAGCAGAGTTGCACCTTGAACAATATTGTTTTTGCTCATCAGAATATATTCTTTTTAGTCAAACAAAAAGTCCACATCAACACGATTGTTGTTAAGAAATTGACAAATAAGCTCCACATTGCCTATTTTGGTACACTTCAGCTTGATTTGTGGACAAATGATGCCACATATGCCAAGTTAGCTTTGCATTAAGTTTCTTGTAGAAGCTGATGCTAGCCAATTGATTTCAAAAGTAGTCATAACACGGTGGCTTGAGTGTTAAACATGTAACTCGATCACTCATACACCATAATTTTCAACTATCAAAATTTATATTAAATATATGTGACCAACTTCTTTGAAAGTGCCTCTACTTTACTAGCCAATTAATAGCTGAGCAACACCCTTTCTTGATCTGTTGGTTCCATGACTCGGTCTTTATGCAACTATTGTCATACATAATCATGCTATAGTTTATAGAACCTACATGCCTGTATTTTATTGATTTTATCTGAACGGGATTCTATATGTTTTCAAATAGAGTTGGCTTTTATATGTTTGTTATTCTTATAGTGTCTTTCTACTCTGTATGCCCCAGACAATTATTTCATGCATCTGATGGTGGAACTTTTGCTCTGGATTGGCTAAGAAGTTCTGATGGTAATGCAGACATATAACATATCTTATGTACCTTATCAGACAAATATCCATGCGTTACTAAGTTCACACTACACATTATACACATAACAAGATGTTATATTATAGTGTAAATCTTCTTGTCATATAGTATGTTCCAACTTATAGAGCTCAACTTTGAATAGTTTTAAGAATTTATATTGTCTACCTGATAACCCTAACCCTGGACAGTTCTTAGCAGTTGTTGGATTTTGATGTGTTTTAGCCTTACTCCAGGAGGATTTTGAAGTCGGTCATGAGAAGTTAATGCCTACGGCTGTTACTGGTCACTTTTGTATTGTTGCTATAGATAACATTACTACTGCCCGTAGCCGCAGGATTGAAGTTGTAACTCATGAGCTGTAATATATGTTCTCATTTATGTTACTTAATCTTAGTAGTTGTCCATGAAAATACGTGATCAGCGTTGCAATATCTTTATTTCCCAAATGACATCCCAGCATAGGCAATGCCTTTAAGATTAACTCTATGAAAAACTCGGAATAGAGATATGATGCGAAAATTTTGTGAGACATAGGATTCAACAAGTAAGATGCGCATAGATATCTCAATAAGTTCTCTCGTTTTAGGAGAGTTGAACTATCATCTACAGACTGAAAATTTATACCAAGGACTGTGGTTACATGAAATATGATGGTAATCTTATGTCATTAGGCTCCATCTTAGGATGTAGCATGGTTGTTGAAAGGCTTTAGGAATTGTCATCACATTTTGGAACCAAAGTATTGAATCGTGCTCTATCATTGTAACGCCCCACGTCCTTATATATTGGGTGTCGTTACTTTACATGATAAAACTATTACATCTTGAATCTGAACTTGAAATTCAGCTTTATTTATAACATATCTTGAAATTACATCAAAGAAGAAATTACTTAGCGGAAACATAACCATAGTTTGTATTACAACAGAACTTGCTTATTGACTAAAACCATACTACTTTATGCAAATCCTCTTTACTTCTTTCCTGAGATACATACATAAGATATGCTATAAGCTTAGTGAGTATTTATGGTTTCATGAATGAGAAATTTTCATGATATTTTGTGAATGATAATTCATTAAAGTTCTTGATCATGTACAAAATTATTCTTTATTATCATGCATAAACCTTCATAAAATACTATTCTTTATCATGCATAAACCATTATTTTGAGATCTCACTTGTCACATGCATGTATGCCCTACTTGTCTTGAGGTTTGCTAACCCCCGCGTCCATAAAAGGCTACCCTATAAGGTCCGTTTGCAAGACGTCCCTTCTTGTAATATCCCGTACATTGGATATTATGGTTATACATAACATGTAAAAAATTTCATGCCTTTGTGTAACACATATGATAACATGTAAATGATTTTCATGTGTTGTGTGTATACTTGTATTAGAACATGTCCTCATGCATATCTTGAATATGTATGTGTATCAATATTTTCATGTAAAACAAGCATGCCAACATAACTTGTAATGCATAAAATACTTTTATATGCATGTATCTCATAAATAACAGAAGTACTCACCTTGATTTTGCCTACTTTTTCCTTTGGTTCCTTTCTTCAAGCTTAATTATGTATATATACAGAGATTTCTTATTTTTGATATGCACAAATACTGACCCTTCAATCCCCATTTATTAGATAAATTCATTGCATTAACTACTTGTTCTTTTTGCTCTCAAGATTGTACTCTTATGAGAGTTTAACACCTCATCTATAAAGATAAGAGAATCGTGACAACTCATTTCTTATGGATAAGAGAATATAGACAACAAGGATAAGAGAATCTAGACAACTCATCTAAGGATAAGAGAATCTAGACAGCTCATCTCTAAGGGTAAGAGAATCTAAACAACTCATGCTTCTAGTACTCCTTGTCATGTTTCTTAGACTTGTCTTGTAATCAATAGTCTTGCCAACTCATATTTTTTTAGCCTAAACAACTCATCACTAGATTGCTTATTCATGCTTACTACACTTGCCAACATACTTCTAGCCTTAACAACTCATCACTAGATTTCTTAGTCATGCTTACTAGACTTGCCAACACATTTCTATCCTTAACAACTAATCACTAGCTTGTTTAGTCTTATAATTAAGATGTTCACTAAATGTAACAGCTGCTGGAGTGCTTGAATTACTCATAAATATTTGCATTTAAGGTTTAAATATTGAGATTTATCAAATAAAGAAACTAGGGTGTTACAATCATCATACCCATGGAAGTGGATAGTCAATTTGGTAAACAACGTCAAACATACATATTTGTTTTCTTCTCATTCCGCAAGTCCCATTGATCTTGTACTTGTGTATGGCGAGTGTTTCCACTTGATGAACTGAAAACGTTATGCCCAAAATTGTATTGCTAGCCATGAGAGAAACCAAAAATGCAATTAAACAAGCTAGAAGTTAAAGGTTCAAGGACTTGTACAAAAATCCAATAAAGAGGGTAAAAGGTGCATTGAAATCATAAAGACCATTGTTTGTTTTGTGCAAAGTTGTACATGTGGGATGTGCTATATAACTTTGATGTAAACACTTCTAACTAACAAAGACTTCAATTGAAAACACATTTTATTCTCTATTTTAGACTTGCCAACATTTGGCATAGTTCTTTTGATTAAGGTTTCATAGGAGCCATGTAAGCCGAATTCATTTTTCTTGACTTCCTAAATATTTGAGTGCTTTAAAGGATTATTTTGTGTTTGAGTGGTTCAACGGTATCTATGGGTTGATTCTCAATCACTGTTATCAGTCTCTTTTAGTGTGACACCTTAGAAGTTGTCCTTCAATTGTAAAATCTAGGATATACTAGTTACTTTAGTTTAAAGCTGCTTTCCTCATGCACTAATACATATAGAAAACATAGAAATATACTCATGTTGATATGACCATTTTCATGTTTACTCATTATTGGTGGAACAAAGTTTAAATGCCTTTATGTTGTTGCTAACTTATATCTTGAAGCCTATTAAAATTAGTTTTTGTTTTTCATTATGTTTAGTTTGTACCCAAGCTCGATTGAGACAAGGGCTTGTTGATTTTGATCATGATCATGTTGAGTTCCTTAAGGCAACTAGGGTATTTACAACAAACGTGCTAATGTTATTTTGACTGTAAGCTTATAAAATGCATGGTTATTGTTACCCTTCAATCCTTCTTAGTTGTAGTAATTTATTTTATGTATTAGGTTCTATTCAATTATTGATTAATGATTTAGATGTTTATGTAAAGAATGAACATTATTTTTTAATTACTATTTTTCAAGAATGTAGTGGTTATTTAGTTGTAGGATCCATCTTGCTTCCAGTATAGTAAGCTCTCAGTGTGTTCTCACCATGAAAAATAGTTGTATGAACTTACTTCTAGGGCATGATGCTTGATATGTTTTTATTACTTACACGATGTGAGAAGAATCACCGGTCTTGATTCTAACAAAGTGTTGTATGATGAGAAGCTTGTTAATTGACTTCGCGAACACGTTGTAAGATTAAGTTTCATTTATTGTGATTTGTGAAACTTTTTGCAGTTTTGGGAGATCCAACATATGAAGATGATGCCTCATTGACACATGATAAAACCCCCATCGTAGTTGTAATTCCTGGATTAACTAGTGATTCTTCTTCAGCTGTAAGCTCAAACATTTGTCAAGTCTGAATGTTTAGTGAACTGCTTTAATTCTTATGGGTATTTTTATTACAAATATCATTGTTCAGCATTCATCATGCTAATGTTAATTTTAGTGATATACTATACTATCTATGCCTTGCAAGGTGGTGGAAAAACCTATACATATACTTGGAGTAGCTTTGAGGTTGTGAGCTGGGAATTGGTTAACTATAGATAGATTAGTTCTAATATAAATGTTGGTAATATTGAGACCATATATTAATTATTAAATGCCCTGAACTTAAGGTGCTTGATATTGGACATACTTTATTGTTTGTATCATTGTATGTAATGGATAACATCATTCAATCAATTAATTGCACCATCAAAAGTTATTTTGTTGACTATTTGAAAAAAAAAACAAGAGTGGTGCTAATAGTAATAGTAGTAGGTAGTACATTAGATCTGTCTCAACTATTGATAGAGTGAATAAATATGTTGTTCACAGTCTACCCTTTGTAGAACATTTGAAGCAACAACATCCATATATCGAGTTTTTATATACTTCACTTCATGAGTCTTGTTAGATGGCTAAACACATTTATGCATCAGATTAAGATGTAGGTTTCCTATTAGTATTGTTCACTTTGACATCGATAGTTGGGCTAAAGATCAAATATATATCATGGCGAAGGATCGTGTGAGAAAGAGAATTAAGGTGAGAAGCGTAAGAAGGGATTTGGACCCTTGATCACCTTTAATCTCAAACCCACCCATAAATCGTGCTTAATACGGGGATTGATCCGGTGCATCTCATTCTAATGTGCATCCAAGGGTGGAGATCCCTTCTTACGCTTCTCATCTTAACTCTCTTTCTAACCAGAACCCAACCCTATATATCATTGGGTAAAAACTAAAATATATATAATTGGGCCCAAAAAAGTTTGGGGGCCCTGTTTGGAATCTCACCTTGGTACCCTCTGGCACGGCCCTGAGTTGTAGCTTGTTTCTTCCTTTCAGTAGTAATATGCTACCTTTCTGCACTTTCATCTCATAAAATGAATAAATTGAGCAAGTAACCTAAGAAAATAAATTCAAAAAGTGTATTTGCATTTTGTATGGTTCATCTTGTCCTTGTATTGACTATATGATTGTGATTTTTTTGAGAACATTTTAGTACCTCAAGCATCTTGCCTTCTCCACGGCAGAACGTGGATGGAATGTTGTTATTTGCAATCACCGAGGACTTGGAGGGATTTCAGTTACAGTGAGTACTTTCTTAGCTAAATGTTGCATGCTTTTGTTAGGATTGAATGAAAGGGAAGCATGAATTATATGGGTCAATCTTCCCTCTTGTTATTAACTGGCGTACTTAATGTTTTGTGCTGCTCCTTTTGTTTTTGCACATTCATTAATTTCTGACAACCTTATTTATCGTGTTTTTGTCTTGGAGCTTATTGTTCCTGATTTTATGATTATAAACTATTCAACCGGCTGGTTATTTAACATGTTCAATCAAACAATCATATTTGATACTTTACCAGAGTTTGAATCAAATTCAAACAGAACCTTATCAATTGAATCAGATTGGTAACGTTTTCTTTTTCGTTTTTTATTGCTATAGTGTTGCTTAATTCTTTTTGTGCTCTGTGTTCTCATGTCTGATTTGTCAGGTTTTACTTATTTAGATCACTCGAGTTCAAGCTAATTGTTTATTTGTTTATGCATGTAGTCAGATTGTTTCTATAATGCGGGGTGGACAAAAGACACACGAGATGTCATCAACTATCTTCATCACGAATATCCCAATGCACCTCTTTTTGCTGTTGGAACTAGCATTGGTGCCAACATTCTGGTACCTATGGTCTTTCATTCTTCTATGTTCCTTTTCCTATTAAACTTCTAGCAAATTTCTGTTACCAAGTTAAATCACAGGCATTGTCAATGGTGCTTTTGAAGTAGCTACTTATATATTCTGCATACTACATTAAAGAGAAGTATCTAACAAGTTACATGTTCAATACATCACCATGATGTATTTAGTACTTTTAACATTGATGTATTTAGTAATTTTCTGTGCTTTATGTTTTCCTTGTGTTGTATTTAGTACTTAACGAGCATGCTTCAATTTTATTCTGTTGTTGAAGAATCATTTAGGCTCCTATCTCAATGGACAATGACAAGTCATCCTTGGATGTTATATACTGAGATACGGATTATTATACAACTGAAGCATGCATTTCTCTTGAGTACGGGTTATGGTGTGTGCAAGTGCAACATTATTTAACTGAAGGAGGAGAAATCTCTTTATAGTATAGGTTATGGTGCGTGCAACATGTGAGAGACTTGGCATTTTCATAAATGAGTCGGCGACCTTTTGTTTCATTTGATGGATATGAAAGCTCAAGTATTCAGCAGTGTATATTCTTCTATTGATCACATGAATGAATATATAGGGTACATGTCTAACTAACTTTGCATCTATTTAGAATCTATACTTATCTGACAAGATTACAACAAACTATTAAATCCATCTAAAGAGAAGATAAATATTGAATACTAATTAAATAAACGTACTAGATATTCTTTTACAAATATTGCTCAATACTCCTCTCGAGCTGGAGCAAGGATATCGATCATGCCCGGCATGACTATAGATTCCTCGAAGACTTGTTTGAATAATCTTTTTGTAAGGATATGAGCTCACTGCTCTGTAGATGCTACATATGGAATACAAATCTCTCCACTTTCTAGGTTTTCCTTGATGAAATTTCGATCAATTTTGACGTGCTTGGTCCTGTCATGCTGCACAGTATTATGAGCTATGTTTATGGCAGAAGAGCTTCATTCGAGTGTCAAGCTGGATCTATAACTCTTTCAAAACTTCTTTTAGCCAAATAATCTCACAAACTTCTTGAGCCATAAACACGAAGTTCTGTCTCTGCAGTCCTCCTAGACACAACATTCTGTTTTTTACTTCTCCAGGTAACAAGGTTTTCCGCAAACAAATGTACAATATTCGGATGTTGATCTACCATTACTTGCATCTCCCCAGTATGAATCAGTAAATACTTCAATACTTCTACTTTGATTTTTCGTGAAAAGTATCCCTTTTAGTGGAGTTCCTTTCAAAAAATGTAGAATTCGATACACGCCTTTGAAGCGTTTCTCTGTTTTTGACAATCCAAGAATCTGTTGACACATCCTACACCAAAGGCAATATCACGCCTTGTGTGGGACAAATAAATCAACTTCCCAACCAATTTCTGATATCTTTGTCAACACGAGTGCTTCCTTCCTCTATTTCACGTTTCTGGTTCATTACATGCAAGTTTACCGGTTCCTTCAATAAATCTAGAACATATTTTCTTTGTGATATAGCTATGCTTTCCAAGATCTTTAATCTCGAATTGTTTAGAAAGAAATCTTTTTAATGCTTTAAGTTCTTCTAGGTTGTCTCCTGTCATCACAATATCGTCCACATACACAATAAGAATCGCAATCATACCTCTTGAGTGTTTGTAGAACTACATATTATCTGATTGTGCTTGTAAGAAACCTTGTTCCTTAACACCCTTTGAGAATGCCCAAACCATGCTTTTGGTGATTGTTTTAGTCCATACAAGGACTTCTTTAGCCTATATACTTACCCATCCGAAAACACGTCAACAAATCCCAAAGGAACATCCATGAAGACTTCTTCCTCTAGTTCTCCATTTAAGAACGCATTTTTCATGTCGAGCCAATGAAGTGGTCAGTCAGGGTTTACTGCTAAAGATAGTACAACTGTTACCGTGTTTAGTTTAGCAACCGGAGCAAATGTTTCCTGGACTGACATAAGTCTGCGTGAATCCTCTAGCCATAATTCTTGCTTTATACCTCTCTATGGTTTCGTCTGCATTGTACTTGATAGTAAAGACCTATTTGTTGCTTACCTGGTGTTTTCCTTCAGGTAATCATGTTAGTTCTCAAGTATCCTTCTTTAGTAGAGCCTTCATTTCTTCGAACACGACTTGCCTCCATCTTGGAACCGCTAGAGCTTCATGTATCGACTTCGGAATCTCATCATTTGTAATGCTACTATGAATTGAGTTAAAATGTGCACGCCCATTATCAGTTCTTAAAATTTGAATTCTTGACTGAAATTAGTATTGATCATAACAGAAAAGTTTTAAAAATTTCAGCAGCCTCTGATTTTTCTTTCAAAAGGTATACCCAAGTATTCCTGGTGTGGTCATCAATGAAGGTGATAAACCTTGGACTACCCGAGGAACTCTTAATTCTTGATGGACCCCAAATGGCACTGTGTATGGGAGAGAGAGGTTTTGATGACATGTATTTAAGTGAAGGATATACATGTCAATGATGTTTTGCATATTTGCATATCTCACATTGGAAATGACTCATATTTTATTTTTGAACATCAACGGAAACAGATATTTGAGATAACTAAAACTAGGATGGCCAAGTCTATAGTGCCCTAACATTTTTTTCATCTTCTAGACAAAAAAGAGGAACTACTTGGTTTCTGAACCTGTTTTTCTAAAAGGCTGCCATCATCAAAGTGATAAAATCCCCCTACTTCCTTTGCACTGCCAACCGTCTTCCCCGAGCATAGGTCCTGAAAAATACACCTGGTGGATAGGAATTTGATTAGACAATGGCAATTTCGAATGAGGTTACTAACAGAGATCAGATTGCAGGATAAGTTAAGAACATGTAGCACATAATGCGTCCCCTCACTTCGTCGAGGTCTTTGTTTAGGCCAACAAGGAACTCAAAAACTCTCCGTCTCTCCACCATCTTCTGAAACAAGGTCTGGTCCTTTGAACAACTCCATTCAAACTCAATAAACAGCTCGGACTCATGTAAGAGAGTCTTCAGATCTGTGTAATATTGAGTCATCGTCTTTTCTCCTTCCCTGGCTTCCCACAAACGAGTTTTTTATTCGAACCATTGACCTATCTTGCCAAGATAAGAGTAGGTCTCATTGACTGAACTCTGGATAATATATGTTTGGTTCCATTGAGTTGATCAACCAAGACATGATCATAGAGTTCTCAGCTTCCCATTTTTCAAAGCCTTCAGCTTCCACATCTGGCTTGTCTATTGAACCAGAAAGAAAACCAAACTTGGACCTGTCACACATAAACAGTTCTACAGATTGTGACATTGTAAAAATTTCTCCATTTAATTTATGGGAGGTGATGGATATATCCTGAAGGGGTTCAGAACTGGATTCAGTTGGAACTGATGAACGGGAGGAAACGCCCGTAGAAATATTTGAATCAGGCATATGGTTGGTGGACTCTGATACCATGAAAGCTGAAGTATTCAGCATGAATATATATTTTAACTTTGCATCTATCTAGAATCTATACTTATCTGATAAGATTACAACAAACTTTAAATCTATCTAAAGAGAAGATAAATATTAAATATTAAATACTAATTAGATAATTATACTAGATATGTATCTACATATATTACTCGATAGGATACAAATGTGTTGCAATAATGAGTCTACTTTGCACATCAAGCTCATCTCCAAGACTAAGATTAGGCTCATGTTGATGGATGTAGATGAGTTCTTTTGTTTTAATGTTTTGAAATTTCATTGTTCTTGGTTGTAAGTGAAAACAATAATGAATAACATTTTCTGTATTTTGAATTATTAGGTCAAGTATCTTGGAGAAGATGGAGAAGATATTCCTATTGCTGGAGCCGTTGCTATTTGCTCTCCTTGGGACCTTTTGGTTAGTGAACTACTATAAAGAATCATTCCATGGATCTATTCTAAAAAGACTGTTGTGGCCAATAATTTCAGTAGGCTGACAACTTTATTATGCCTGCATGTGTTTCCACAGTGCCATGTTAATCTATCTTCAAATTTGAGGTTGCACATTTTTCACCAACATGAAGGAGTGGTAATCACAGTTCATTCGCATTTTCAAAGTTTTAGGGTTTTGAGTAAGAATGCTATTAGGACACGGATGTTTGTATGCTTAATTGAACTGTCTGGAAATATATAATACACGTCACATCAAGGGGATGGGATGCTGTGGGAAGTCAAAAGTCAGCCGATGTTAGACTGAATGTACTTAAGTGCAATTAGTATAATGTAGAGGGCACTCCTATGTAATTAGTATCTCTATGTATAGAGACCGATTGCAATTAGGTTACATATCAAATCTACACTAAACCTTGGGTTTATCTTGGTATCAGAGCGTTACATAAACCCTACCTGCCCTCTTGGTCACGCCACTACAAGGCTGATCGTCCGCTGCCACCGCTACCTCTGTTAATCTGACCGTCCGCTGCCGCCGCCGTCGCTGGAATCTGCCGCCGCTCGTCATGTTCGCTTCAATGAAGACCACTTCCCCTTTGCTATTCCTACTGTCCCCACTTCCTCACCTACATCATCATGTCCCTACACATCCTCGATATCACCTCACTTTGGTAACCAATAACACTCCACCTGTCGCTCCATCTCCTGTAATACCTGATCCGCCTAGTTCACCACATACTTTCTCGCCCATCTCTCAATCTTCTCCCGAACCCACTTCCCCTTTACACCATGATCCAAATACAGTGGTTCATCTCCATTATCATCCACTTCCTCCTCTCCGTCACCACTACCGTCTCCTCGTCCTAGACAACGTCCTTCTAACCTTCGGCCCAACCCCAAACAACAGGTTCCCTTCAATCCTTCGGCTAATCTTACCACCACCTCCACTACACCTATTGAACCAATCTCGTTTACCATTGCCAACAAATCTCCTGAGTGGCGTCAATATGGCCGAGGAGAAAGTGACTTGTACCATGTCCATCCAAGCATCTACCGTCAACCACAACCACTTCCGATCCAAAGGCTACCACCAATCCACAAGACAACCCTAATTACCCGATTTGGATTTCTAGTGATGCTCACGTTTTGCATGCTTATTATCTCCACTATCTTCAAAGCCTCTTTTCAACATGTCCAGGGTGAAACTTCCCGTGATCTATGGCTTACCCTAGAACGAGCCTATGCTCCTGACATATCATCCAGGGAATATACATTGAAAACTCAACTTCTCAAGATTCAGATGGAAGGTGATGAAACTCCAGAGGCTTATCTCAATCGTGCACATGATTATGCAGATGCTCTAGCTGCCATTGGCGAACCTGTCAAAGATAAAGATCTCGTTATGCTTGTAGTTTCTGGTCTCCATGAAGAATATAATGGTCTTAAATCCACCATCACCGCATGTCAATTCCCAGCTGCCTTCAATGAACTTCATGCCCTTCTCAGTGACCATGACTACATGCTTGGGAAAACTCGTGCCTCTACTCCATCTGTTACTCAGGTTTTTGCAGCTACCATTGGCAATTCTGGTTTGTTACAGCTTTCCAATTTGTCACAGCCTTCTGTCTATCATCATCAACAACTTGCTGCTCAGATCAGTTCCATTGCATCTACCCTTGGTTATCAGTTAATGCCTGTTGCAACTTCAGGACCTCAATCTTTCTATGGTTCTCATCAGCCCCACAACAACCTTGGTAATCGTTGCTGAGGAGCTTCTCATGGTAGCAGCCGTGGACGTGGCGATGGTCGCCAATTTATCTGGGCATCCAATCAAAACACAGTATATGGAACTTGTAACCGCTATAGTATTGGGCACCTCCTATCACAACATCCTAATCGTGATTCATCCACCAGTCGTCCTAGGCAGACTGCTAACTTTGCCAACAACCGTGCCTCCCCATATGTTGAATCAACTTCATGGTTTCCAGACACATGAGCGAACAATCATGTTACGCCTTATTTAGCAAGCATGAATAATTCTGAAGCTTATCATGGTAGTAACGCTCTTCATGTTGGTAATGGTAAGGGACTCGCTATGCTTCATATTGGCTCCTCAACCATTTACTCACCACACAAACCCTTGTCTATCTAATATTCTTCATGTTCTAGAAATCACAAAAATCTTCTTTCATTCCAGAAATTTTGTTTATATAACAATGTTTTCTTTTAATTTCACTCAAGTTTTTTTGTCGTGAAGGACAAGTCTAGACCCACTGCCCTGATTACGGGCCTCAGTGAAAATGGTCTTTACTCTGTTCGTCTTTCCCAACTCAAGTCTATCAATAAAATCGCTTTTGCTGCTGATCGTGCATTCTCTACCATTTGGCATAGGCGGCTCGGTCATCCACATCAGCGTCTTTTTCATTTTATGCTCTCTAGATTTTCTATTCCTGCTACAAATAAGACATTACCTTTTTATATGTCCTATCAAATGGGCAAATCATCAAAACATTTATTACATGTTTCTTCCTTTCGAAATAATAAAATTTTAGATTTGGTTTATTGTGATGTCTGGGTCTTGCACCTATTCTATCTTTTGAAGGTCACCGTTTACTTTATGCTATATGTTGATCATCATTCTCGTTTTATGTGGATCTATCCATTGACTCAAAAACCAGATGTCTACAACACCTTCAAAGGTTTTCTTACCATGGTCGAAAGATAATTTACTACAAAGGTCAAAAACGTTCAAACTGACTGGGGTGGTGAATTTCAAAATCTATCTCCCTTCTTCTAATCCCTTGGCATTGTTCATCGCCGTTCACGTCCTCACACCAGTGAGCAAAACGGCTTCGTGGAATGATGCAATCGACATGTCGTTGAAACTGGTCTCACTCTGCTTGCTTAATCCAGTGTTCTTCAACATTTTTGGCATTATGCCTCCGATACCGCTGTATACCTAATCACTCACATGCCTTCGCGAACCTCAACAAACAAATCACCGTTCGAACATCTCTTCAAACGATCTCCGAATTACTCCTTTCTTCGGGTCTTTGGTTGTCAATGCTTTTCTCACCTTCGACCATACAACCATCACAAAATTGACTTTCGGTCGACCCCTTGCGTCTTTCTTGGTTATAGTCCTTTCCATCATGGCTATCGTTGACTTGACCTGTCGACCGAGCGTTTATACATGTTCGTTATGTTCGCTTCAATGAAGACCACTTCGCTTTTGCTATTCCTTTTACCCCCACTTCCTCACCTACATCATCATGTCCCTACACCTCCTCGATATCACCTCACATGGTAACCAACAACACTCCACCTGTCGCTCCATCTTCTGTAATACCTGATCCGCCCAGTTCACCACATACTTTCTTGCCCATCTCTCAGTCTTCTCTTGAACCCATTTCCCCTTTACACCATGATCTAGATACCAGTGCTTCATCTCCATTATCATCCACTTCCTCCTCTCCATCACCACCACCGCCTCCTCCTCCTAGACAACATCCTCCTAACCTCCGACCCAACCCCAAACAACGGGGTTCCCTTCAATCCCTCAGCTAATCTTACCACCACCTCCATTACACCTATTGAACCAATCTCGTTTACCATTGCCAATAAATCTCCTGAGTGGCGTCAAGCTATGGCTAAGGAGTATTCCGCTCTTGTTAAAAACGGCATGCAGTCTCTAGTTTCTCGTGCTCAGGGCCGATCCTAAGATTTTTGATGCCCTATGCGAAAATAATAAAAAGTGCCCCTAAGCCAATGAAACAACGAAACATGCGATATTTTAAAAAGTTTAGAACCTATTCAAGCTAAGTATCTCATTCCCATGTTGATTTATATTAATTATAATAAAAAAAATACAATGAGGGGAACATAAAAACCAAAACCCCGAATACAAAATATAAAATGATAAAAGAATAAACCCTGGATTAAGATCTTGTTTCCTTCTTTTCCAGTTTTCCCTTTTCCAAATTGCAATTTGCAAAAATAGAAAATTTATTTCAATATATGGGACTTAAAAGAAAAGGAAAACTATAATTAGTTTTTAACTAAAATAGTAAATTACATCCGAATTACTGTCAAGCCATCATGATTGTGTATGTAGATGATATAATTTTGACTGGTGATATGTGGAGGAGCTTAAGCATTTAAAGGATGTGCTTGCCAAGGAATTTGAGGTGAAAGATCTAGAAAGGCTCAAATACTTTCTTGGAATGGAGGTTGTAAGACCCCACAAAGGAAATTTTTGTAAAACACAAAGAAAGTATACCATAGAACAGGGATGTTGGGTTGCAAACCAGTTTCAACACCTATGGATCCTCAAGGAAAATATCAAATGAAAGATGGAAAACTGACTGAGAAGGGAAGGTATCAAAGATTGGTTGGAAAACTAATTTATTCATTACATACCAGACCTGACTTCAGTTTTGCTGTTGGGATGGTGAGAAGGTACATGAACCAACCAACAGAAGATCATCAAGAAGCGGTTGTTTGAATTATGCAATACCTGAAACAAAATCCTGGACAGGGACTATTCTTTGGAAAGACAAACGATCAGCAGGTAAGAGTTTTCACAGATGCTGATTGGGGTGGATCACGAACAGATGGAAGATCCACTGCAGGTTACTGTTCCTATGTTTGGGGGAACCTAGCAACTTGAGAAGCAAAAAACAGGCTGTTTTAGCTCGAAGAAGTGCTGAGGCTGAATTTAGAGCCATGTGCCATGGAATCTGCGAAGGAGTATGGCTGAGAAGACTTTTGTCAGTGCTAAAAGTAACAATGAATAGTCCTATCACTCTACTCTGTGACAACAAATCTGTGATTGATATCGCAAAGAATCCTGTGCACCATGAAAGAACTAAGCATGTGGAACTTGATCGATACTTCATAAAGAGAAGATAGACCGGGAAGAAGTTCAACTGAAATTTTTGTGCCGTCAAAACAGCAAACAACAGATATTCTTACAAAGGCTCTATCACGACTTGGGTTCGAAGAGTTACGGTCCAAGCTGGGTATGATCATAGCCCAGCTTGAGGGTGAGTGTGGAAAGTCAAAAATCAGCCGATAACAGGAGATCCTTATCTCCTGTCGGTCAACTCATAGTTTGTTAGATAGATTGTGTTTATCTTTCCCTACAATAAAGGCCTGGTTGTTAGTGTCCTGGTTATAAAGTAGAGTCTTTGTAATTCGTTTTTTATGGATTAGGAATACAGATTAAAGCAGAGAGAKAGAGAGACCTTCAATGTCTGGTTCATAAATTCTATAGATGCTGATCTATATGATATCTCCTGAAGTTGTACATACATGTATCATGTCCTACTTTTGCAATAGGATTGGACACTCGACTACCAATAGCCAACTTTCGATCATCAATGATGTTGATTTTCTGATATGAAAAATGACACAAATTAGGGACTGTATTTTTTAGCTTTATTCTAAAGATATACCTATATCCATTGATATACAGTTTAAACTTATGTTCTACCAAATTACAAATACATTATGTATCCCTCTTTCATTTAAGCTCCAATTCCTTCACAAAATAGCGTTTTGACCTCAATAGGCAACTCATCTGGTGAATATTTGAGCTTCTTGTTTTAGACAAAAAAATAACATTATTTAACAATGCATATTCCTGGCTACCCTACCAGGACACGTGTTTCCAAAAATGTTGTGAATACAGCTTGAATCCTTGAGTTTGTGTCAAATTATGTATAATATTTGTATCTTTTAATAGGCGCTAAACATGATGTATTATCTGCTAGGTTTAGAATTTTTCTTACTTCTAGGGATCTTGGTTCCATATTTACTGGGCTGTAAATCAGCTTCTACATACACTTCTGAATCAATGTAGGAAATTATTCATTAAAGATTTCAGTTTGTTATGTAAAGTTTTCTCATGTTCGTTCAATTGTACATAATCATCAGTCATCACTTATCTAAGTAGAAGTGCATAATAAATTATAAAGATTCAATGGACTACTCTGGTGACCGACACATACTAACAATGTTGAGCAAAGCTAGATGGTATCTCTTCTCGAGTAAAATCTCTTCGCTACTATGCTGGATGTAAATTTGAGGTCCAAAGGACCGGCAGTCAGTGATGTATAGTCCATCCATTAGTTCAGATATATTTCATACTCCTTTTGGGAGATATAAGAGGGGTTTTTTGGGGGGAGGGGGATTTTGGTAGTCTATAAGAGCTTTCTATGAAACCTTTTGTCTAGTAATGTATAGTCACATGTGAATTTACTCTTGATTGTCCATGTAATATATATTACTCATAGTCACATGTAATGTATATTCACATGTGAAATACTCATGCTAATCCATGTAAATTATATCAATCATAGTCGCATGTATTATATATTAATATGTGAATATACTCATGATCGAGATTTATGGAGACCTAGTTAATAAATTGAAAAAACATATATCGATATGCGTTAAAGAATATAAATTACTTGTTTTTATGATATAATTTGTTTGATTAAAAAATTAATTATATTTAAGATTTTATAATTCTATATTTATTTAAAAGAAAAAGAAAATATACTTGAAAAGTCAACTCTTTTGTTTAAACCCACCCAAGGTTTTAAAAGCGGAATCGTGACTCGAGGCATAAAACAAATAAAATTCATAAATATTAATAGTATGCGTAACATAATTCCATACCAAACTTTAAACATCATAGATTCATAAACTACTAGCTATACGTCTAAAAACATATCAATCTACAACTTATAGTTCCTCGTAGCATGATCAAGTTGTATAGCTCCACGATCGTGTCCATAATCACTATCACTTTCATCTTCCAAATCCACACAAAACAGAAAAATAATACAGAAAACTGAAAATAATATAGAAAACAGAAAACAGAAAATAAAAATAATAATAATACAGAAAAACAGAAAATATACAAAAAAACATACACAACACATTTTACATATAAAAAATACATTATACATGATATAGAAAATATATACTTGACTGAAATATATATTATATACTAAAAATTTGGACATAAACTAAAAAGAACTTACTTTTTGTGTTGACCTTTGAGATGAATTACTTCTTGAGAGAGGAAAAAGTAAGAAATGGAGAAGAAAAAAATGTTGTTTGGAGAGGCGTGCGCCTCAGAAATGCCTCAAGGCACCGTCTCACCAATTGAGGCATAAGCCTCGTCCAGGGACATGAGGCGCCGCCTCATGAGCAGCTTCGGACCCCCACGCCTCGAGTGTATGCCTCAAATGATTTTGCAAACCATGGTTTTACCTTAATCTATTTAAGTTAATCCATACTCTTCCACTTAGTTATCCTATTATTTACAAAAATACCACCTCCATAATCTACCATCGATTACATGGAATGGAGGGGACATAATTTGTTCCTTGTTCTCTATTTTTTAAGGTTTTCTCTTGAAACCCCCTGCTCTCGCTCTCTCTCTCTCTCTCTCTCTCTCTCTCTCTCTCTTTCTCTCTCTATATATAATGCTATATGATGATGTACTTCAGTAGTTAACATATTTGCTAACATGAATACCTCTCATAATTAGTAGTTCATTTGTGTATTTTAACATCTGGGGTGGCTGTATATGGAACTCTATTTTAAATCTAATTCAACAATGAACATCTTTTTTCAAATTTCAGAAATATGGTGGACCCTTTTGGTTCATATCCATTACCTTTCGATGTATTTTATTTATTTGCATATGTTTTGGCAGATTGGCTCAAGATTCATATGTCGCAGGACTGTTCAAAAATTCTATGATAGGGCACTTACTGTTGGTCTTCAAGAATACGCACAACTGTATGTGGTCGCTACTTTTTTAAATCTATGGTCACTCAAACAGACGATATGATGTTTATACAAACTCACTGTTTTGATAAAAGGCTTGCAGTTGCATCATGTTAAGTTTAGTTTCCCATTGCAGGCATGAATCTCTTTATTCCCGACTTGCTGATTGGGACGGCATTATAAAGGTATGTAGGCTCTATTGTTGCATAGATAGTTTAGCAATGTACTCGAACACTCTTTGTCTGTCACACCTTATTTAGTATGTATGATAAACCATTATGTGTCTTGGAAGTTTCATACAGCTGGAGAGATCATCACAAGAAAAATGTTTTAGTTTTTGGTACACAGTATCATAGTAGTACAGAGTGATGTGACCTGTATCGTGTCTGAACTGGGTCTTGTGTGTCTGTCGTTTTGTTATTTTGATCCAACAGAGCACTGCCACTGATGATTCACAACAAAATTTTGAGAGTCCCTTTCTTTTCAACAGTCAAACTGTCTGTCTGTCCAAGTCAAGATTTCATATCTCATGTTACACTCACACAGTTGACCTTTATCTTTTTTTTTTCCTCTTTATATCAATTTCTAGAATTGTAGTTTCAGATTTAGCTGTAGAAAATGAAAAGTATAAGGCTCAATGAAAAATTGGACGAGTTTTAGATTATTTTCTTTTGGTAGAGATGTATGCATAGGACTTTCCAGTCTCTTAACTAAGACCGAGGAACCAATGATTGCAGATGCTAGGACTTTTGTACACTAAAAATGAAGGATGCAGGGTGTGTGTGTATATATATATACTAGGGTGGGTTCAAACGAAAAGGTCAAAGTAAGAGAACTAGAGAATGCCTATATCACATGTAATTTTATACTAAAACTCATGTGATTAAGGAATGGGTCAACCCAGGGGCACGTGTGCTTGGTCTGATGGCCTTGGAGGTTTGACCGTTACTTAATCACATGTTATACTTTGATAAAATCACATGTTATACGTTGACCCCCTTCTTGTTTGAACCTGCCTCTGTATATGTGTGTGTGTGTGCTCAATGCCAACGAAAGAATGGAATTTTGTGCACCCATATTAGTTTAAGCTAGAACACATACCCAAATGATGCATGTCCTATCTTACTTTCACTTCTACTTGGCGCACCCATATTAGTTTAAACTATTGAGGAAGAAGAATGTAGTATGCTGCCTTCTTTTTTTCTCTCGTAGATACATAAGTCCAAGTTTGATTTCACTAATTTCGTGTTTATAGATTGTGAAATTTCATCTCATTGATTTAAGAGAAGATACCAACATAGACCTTTTTGAAGTTTGAGAAATATATTCTCTCGATTTATTCCCTATTGCAGCTTGGATTTGTTTCTGTTGCTTCTATAATTTGATAAAATGTTGTATCTGCAGCAAGTACTTTTTTTTTGTTTGGTTTTTATTGTATTTATTTATTTTTTACCCTATATTTTTGAACTGCTAGTTATTTGGAACTTAAACACTATTTAATATATAGTGATCTTTCTCCCCTTTCTAGTCACGTACCATACGGGATTTTGACAATTATGCTACTCGTCTAGTTGGGAAGTTTGAGGTAATCGTCTGTAAACATATTATTGTTGTTGTGCAACTTCTTGTTAGTGACATTTTTGTTGTTGAAGACTGTGGATACATACTATAGGCATTGTAGCAGTGCTCAATATGTGACGAAAGTTTCAATTCCATTACTATGTATAAGTGCTTTAGATGATCCAGTCTGTACCAGAGAGGCAATTCCATGGGATGAGTGCAGGTATGCTTCTATGCTATTTTCATCCTCTATTCACTCCGACACCTGATGATCTATAATTCTTCATATATGTTGGTCCAATAGAGAAAATAAAAATATTGTGCTGGCTACAACACGGCATGGAGGACATCTTGCGTTCTTTGAGGGTCTTACTGGATCTAGTTTGTGGTATGCTCCTAATTTATCTAAACCTCCATCATATGTTTTTTATTCTTTTCTAATATCAATTTGCAATAGGAAGCATGGCATTAAATTGTACTTATTTATACCACTAGTTCATTTCTTGCCATCAATTTACATATTTCAATCCATAGTCACTTATATCTGTTAAAGTTGTAGTGTAAAGTGCATGTGCCATGTTGTTGGTCCCAGAAAAAGAGGACAAATTGGTGTGGGAGGAAGAGGATTGTACAGAGACGGAGCTACATCTGATTTAACTAAAGAACCAGGGTGGCACAGAGAAATAACTAAATAAGGCCTGTGAGAAACTATCAAGCTTTTTAAGATGTCAAGTCTTAAATGCCTGAAAAAACCAACATTTGAACTCCACATGCAGATGGAGATTGAGGAAGATCATGTGGCAGAACTTGTCAATTGATAATGAGAACCGGTTAAAGGAAGTGATTTATTCTTCAGGTCATGACTTTGCTTGCAACTTCATATAAGCCTCATGGATATTACTAAGATTACCCTTCAGGATTTTAAGACCTACTTTTATCATTCCCACTAATTGGGCCAATTAATTCATACACACACAAAGCTTCCCTATTTAATAAGTCCCAAGAGTGATGTCATGTACAATCATACTTCCACCTGAACACATGAACACAACCTGGAAAGGGACATGAATATGCATAGGTAGGCTTAAAAATGATAAGCTTAATGCTGGAAAAACAAGTTCTTTACAAAGAGGGTGAATGATGTTAACATGACTACGTGCACTAAAAGTTCAAATTAGTATAACATCTCATGCATTTTCTTTTAAAGTGATTGGAACCTTTTTCGCTTGCATGATTTTATTTTGTAGGCTATGCTACACAACCTGCATGAATTTATTTATTTCTACAAAGTGCTACTGTATATAAACCGATTTCATGTAAACTTCTTGAGTTTTGGAGTTTCAACGACAGTTTCCTGTCCTGATGCTTAGATAAATATTTGACATATTATTGTTAAAAATTGGTTACCTACAGTACCCTTGTCATTTGGTCATGGAAGGTTGGAGGGGGTATTTGGGAGTCACAGATTTAGAAACTAGTAACCATGATAATTAAGTTAGCACCATGAAGAATATTAACATTTTATAGGGCATCCCAGAAATGAGTTATCTTACTAGTTCTACCAACTATCTTTAAATGTATAGAATCTTATTAATCTCCGTATAACTTATTATATATTGGAGCCACTAACGTCACAATGTTATTTTCTATTTAACAATGGGAAGATTCAAAGAAATAGGTAAACGACATTAAATTTGGGATGGGGCTAAAATGAACAGTATACTTAATCTGGGAGGTAGGGAGCTGGAGATGTAGAGGGTGGGAGATAGAGTTGGTAACTTGGACTAGGGGTGTGTAATTTCCTTAAATTGGTTATGCTTTTCTTGTATCTGTCTCTTTTTTTATGCTTTTGCTTTCTCTTAAGCAGCTTTTCAAATTTTTTTCATTCCTGACTTACTCTCAATGTCACATGTTTCACAAGCGGGGATTTTCATGGAAACAGCCGCTTTACTCTTTGGGGTAGAGGTCAGGTCCGGGTACATCTTACCCTCCCCAGACCACCCCTCAAGTGGGATATACTGGGTTCATTGATTTGGTTTACTCAATCTGGGAGGTGTGGAGTACTATTTGTTTCATCAGAATGCATTTTCCTTTTCTGCGACTTCATAGCTTAATCGGAGCTTGTCTGTGCTTATTCTATGTGGGCCTATTTTTTCCATGCTGTTCAATTTTCAGGTGGGTGAGAGCCGTGAATGAATTCCTTGGCGTTTTGCACTGCAGCCCCTTCATGCATACACAAAAGAAGGTGAAATCAGATTCTTTAGTCCTATTTGGTGAACAGTATATACTATTACGATTTAGTATCCTGTAAATCAGGAGAAGCACGCTGTTGGGTCTTCATTGGTAGTGTTGAAGTCCCAACTTCACTAATTCTTAACGAAAGACAAACTCCTGAGAAGTCGCAGGCAGTAAATTCACTAATTCTTCATGGTAGTGTTGGAGTCCCACATCGACTAGATTTGGATCATTTCTTTCTCCTCAATATATGTTGGAACCCCTCCTCTCCTCAAGGGATCTTTTGGATCTGATGGGGTTCTACAGATTCTCACATGGTATCAGAGCTTGTAATCTGATGGAACTCAACAGATTAAAGATACTGCGCACTAATGCGAGAGCCAATAGAAACTTAGGAAACATTCTCTCCCCAAAATACGTTTGACCTCCCTCCTATTTAAAGGTAAAACTCTCTCCTCTAACCGACATCTAGCCACTTTCCTTTTCTGCCCCTTTGGCCCTTCTAGATTATACTTTTAGAATACTTGGTTTATTTATATTATGGTCCAGTCCAACTAAATCCGTAACATAATCACTCAAGTAAAGTGATGTATTTCTCATTAAACTAGTAGGGAACTCTACACAATATATGTACAACCAAACAACCTAATAAAGGAAAGGATGATGTATTTCTCATTAAACTAGTAGGGAATTCTATACAATATATATACAACCAAACATCCTAATAAAGGCAAGGATACTAAGAAAGCAAAAACCCTGATTTACTATATCTGATAGAGCCAATATCTACCACTCTAGGGACTTGACACTCCCCTCTTGACACTTTGAGACAATTTGTGCCCGTGTAGCCTCTGTTAGAGGGGGTGCTTTAGGACCCTTTCGACTCAATATATGTTGGACCCCCCCCCCAAGGGTTCTTTGGATAGTAATCTATTGGAGTTCCATATATTCTTGCACGGCATCAAACCCTAAGGTCTGCAACTCTAGGGACTCGACACGCTTTGGCAATCTGTACCCATCTAGCCCCCTCAATGCTTTGGGACAATCTGTGCCCATTTAGCCTGTTGGAGGAGGTGTGTTGAAGCCTCATGTCGGGTAGACCTCAACCCTTTTTCTGGAACCTCGATTCTCTTCCCAAGAGCTGTTTTCAAGAGTAATGTGATGGGTTAAACATATTTTAAGAGGTACACATAAATGTAATCATGTGTTTGAACTATACTGCTATGACTTACTTACTTGCTAACATTCCGTCACAGAATCCTCCACATTGTGGATTAGAATCTTCTGTCGATAAAGGCCCATATGTTAATATCGCACATGGAATGGTTGCTGCCATCGGCAATGATCCATTAGCAACTGATGCTGGAGAAGGTTCATCCGAAAGGCAGAAAGTCGATGATAAGAGAGATGATATAATTGTACCTGATGCAGAAGATCATGTGGTCACTCGTTCTTGTGGTCGAACCTTTAAGCAGTCTGAGAACATGAAGGACGTGAAACCACGTGATATGAGCGGCATAGTAAAATGGTTAGATCAACTCTTCCAACAAAATAGAAGATCAACATGGATGCTTGCTTATATTGCCATCATATCAACATTGCCATTGATGGGTGCTGCTCTTCACTTCCTCTTTAGGAAGAAATTTAAGAAGACAATACCTGCAAAATCACTCAAGTTATAGATCTGCTGCTGGCTTGTAACTTTATGTATGTTGAACTGTTATAAAGGGTATCTAATTCAATATATTATAAAGGCTTCTAAACGGTATCTAATTCAATATATTGATCTGGTGCATCGTGGTGCATCTCATTAGTGTTGACATTCAATTAGGATTGATCCAAGGGTCAAGATCTCTTCTTACGTTTCTCGCTATAACTTCCCTTATCATAAAAAATAATTTTTATAATAAATGATCTATATGATTATTCTTCTTTTAATATGCATGTACAATTTTTAATATGATATCCCATTAGATAATATATAGAAAACATATACGTATATATATTATTCTATATATGACATACAAATTTGTCGCCTTATGTCATGTCTTGAAAAACGTTACATCCTCACTGTGACGTGTAAGGCTTGAGGCTTGATTTTTCTGCCACGTCACGCTTCACGTCATTTTAAATCTTATCGAGGAGTTATAACTCGAGATGACATCAAGACTTAAGTACATGAGAACCACAAGTATTTTTTTGATGTAATTAGTGCAGCAACTTGAGCTCACTAAAATAAAGGATAATAGAATTTAACCTGTATTTCTTTAAACCAGATGTCCACAAGTCAATCTCTCGGATTCAGTTGTCAACTGTCCCTATCGAAAATAGGATTGACTATGGATTCGAGCCATAGCACATAACAGAGCATCAAAAAACATGATATGATATTAGTAATCACTAAAACCAATTTCTTATATAAATTTCTGCTACCTTCACAACAAAATAGCGATATAATATTAACAAATATAGACCGTTACAAAAACTGTAATCTCTAATACGATTGCATTATAAATTAGATAGACGATCCACTGAACTCAAAGTAACCGTTGGTATTTAGACAAGTTTGCCTGTATTTCGAGTAAGTTTACGAGACCTTGAAATTAACAATCAAAGAAATTTCCAATGACTTTTAAAGGACTCGAATTGATAAATTAAACGTAAGTTCTTACTTGTTAAGTTTCATAAGTTAAAAAATTGTGTAAAATGACCAAAACAACTTATTGACTTATTCCAGTATGACACCGGTAATAAGTACTTTGGAGTGTTTGGATAAACAGCTTATATCGGTGCCAAACCGGTGATAATGAGTTTTTGAAGAAATTAAACCATTCTAACTTATAATAAGTTGATAAGGGGGCTGTTTACCCGAATACTTACCCGGTAAGCACTTACCGTAGGAGTCAACACTACAATCTATTTTACCAGATAAGATTGTAGTATATTAAAATGGTATGATATGCAACAATTTACCCGGTAAATGCTTACCCGAGTAAGAGTCATCACCATCACTTACTGGGTAAGACTCTTTATCCTTATCATCGCTCTTACCGGGTAAGATTTTCGGCCCTTACCATGTACATCAGGTGAGATCAACACTTATCGGGTAAGTGTTTAGTAAACGGCCCCAAGGACTTTATTAAAAAAACATAAGTTGTTTCAAATAAGCAATCCCAAACACCCCATAAATAACATATGTAAAATAAATACAAAGTACAAGTTACTAAAAGTATATTATATCGATTAAGGGGTTGTTTACCAAATGCTTACTCGGGTAAGGGCTTACCAAAATTATATTACCTTACCGAATGAATATGACAATGACCAAAAATCTTACCCGGTAAGAGCGAGATAAAGACCGAAAGTCTTACCCGGTAAGAGCGGACAATGACTCTTACCACGGTCAGCTCTTACCGGCTAAATTGTTGCATAGAAAGCCATTTTTGTTGACTAAAATCTTACCTAATAAGTAAATAAAAGTGTTGAATTTTACCGCTAAGTACTTACTGAATAAGTGATTGGTAAACGACCCCTAAGCAAATAAATCCAAAATACCCATCTAATCATTTTCTCAAAATTAAACGTTATAAAGAGAGATCCAAGGCCAAATCTGAATATTAGTTGCATGGACATAACTAACCTCCAAAAGGCAATATTTACGAACGAAAAACGACAAAACTTCAGAGTAATATGCGAAATACAAATAAAAACCGATTAACGGTAAAAAGTAAATTTAACATATGGTGAGTATTAAATAGTTAAGATATGCTCCTATGCAAGAATTATTCTTAAATTCGTACTGATTAAATAAAATGTAAAGCGGTTAAGCCAATCCAATTTTTTGTGATTGACTTTGATCGGTCTGCACATTTCAACTAGCCGATCACGCTAAATAGTTTATAATGTCGCATTTGCACAACTCTTCGGTGTTTTCATGTAATTTATGTAACAACCATCTCATATGGATATAAATGTAGAATTATGAGCTTCTTATAAGTTCAATGTTGTGGGCTACAAATAACTTTCACAATATGTATAAGTTGATTTGGAGGTTATTAGGTCAACCTGTTGCACCGTTCTTGTAGTGTTACAAGTTTCATACATCAAATGGTTGAGCACGGCAGGTATTTGTGCTTGAGGGTGAAAAACATTTGTTGAGAGGTTATTAGTATCTATAACAGATTCTTCAAAAAGAAATTCTAAAATAGATGATGAAAAATTAAAATGTTCAAAAATATGTATATTCAACTCTAACAAATTCTCTATTTTGGAGATTACAACATTAATTATATCATTTAAATATTCAATACAATTAATAAAATATTATTTCTACCACGTAAACATTTAGGTGCCATTTACCAAACGCTTAACCAAGTAAGCGCTTACCAAGTTACTTTACTTTATTGGATGAATATGACAAGGACTAAAAATCTTACCCGGTAAGAGCGAAGAAAAGAATCGAGAGTTTTACCCGGAAAGTGAGGACGAGAACTCTTACCATGGTTAGCGCTTACAGGGATAAATTGTTGCATACGATGCATTTTAGTGAATAAAATCTTACTGGGTAAGTAAACAATTGTATTGAATTTTACCGGTAAATGCTTACCAGGTAAGTATTTAGGTAAAAGGCACCTTAATTTCAAGAACTCTTATGGGTGGGAATAATAATAAAATGAGTAAAGTTCACTTTTGGTCATTGATGTTTGTCACTTCCAATGGCTTTCGTCACCCAAACTTTGTTTTAACAGATTTGTTCCTTATATTTATCACTTCGTAACACTTTTCGTCCCTCATCCTAACGCCCATTACTTCTTCTGTTAAATTCAACTAAACCAAGGGCATTTTAGTCAATTTATACATTTTTTTTGTTTTTCTTATTTTTATAAAAACCATCAAATTATAAGACTGTTACGCGATTAACTTCCTCTCTCTCATACATATAGACATATATAAGTTCTTTTGTTAACCAATCCATTGGTGTAACCATATGAATCGATCTTGACATTAAATTTTAAGATATACAGGTTAAATTGACTGATGGCATTTTTGTAATAATTGTAAAAATGATATTTTAAACAGAGGTGAACACAAGTGAACAGGGATATTTTTTGAAAAAGATATCAATTTTAAGATAACATTCAATCACTAGTTTCTTTTTGTAACGTTCAATTAGTAGGCTCAATCTTATGCCCACATATATTCACTTATGAGCATGTAACCGTCCATTACAAAGGCTAAAATCATGGGATACTTAAAAAAAATGTAACCATCCATTGAGTTTAACGTAACATTCAATTAGTACGTTTTTTTGGTCATTCTAAGTTAATTGGTATGTTTCAAATTTATTTAGTTTGATAGTTGTATTACGTGCCCATATGAACATTTTTCAGCATTCATATAGCTTCAAATTATTATGAACATTGTTCAATATTCATCTTAGGTTCATTTTTATGAACATTGTTCAACCTTCATCTTCAGTTCACTGTAAGTTTAATATTATGAACATTGCTTAACATGTAGGTTCAATGTTGTGCCCACATGTTCAATTATGAACATGTAACCGTCCATTACTATATATTAAAAGCAAGACCAAATAGACAATTACATTCTTACCCTCATTAAATGCTTCCATCATGTGAATCAACTAAATATATAGCTTGTTCTCATGGTGAATAGAGATTTGTAAAGTTAACATTTTTTTATTGGAAAAAATGCGCGAAATAACAACTTGCTTTTACAAATTTCCTTATTATAGCATTGTACTTTCTTTTTTCTTATTAAAATAATGTACTTTCAAAGTATTTTTTATTAGGGCATTGTACTTTAAAAGATTTACCAGTTATAGCATTGGGTAACCTTTTAAATTAAATTTACCCATTATACCAGGTTTCTTTACCACCTCATTGTTCACGTAGACTGTCCACATGTACGATAATGCTGATATGACATTTCTTATTATAGCATTGTACTTTCAAAATTACTTAATTATAACATCATTAATTTCTATTATAACATTTTACTTTTAATTTTAATATTTTTATCATTTATAAATTGTAAATTTAATCAAATAAGTTTACTAAAAATTATAATATCAGAAATTAAACATGTCCAACTAAAGTCGATCCAACAACGACATTGCAGTTATGATTGTCGACCGCAATGAACGGAACAAAAACCATGAAATGTCAAAAACAATAAACATGTAAAACACTAACATATACAAAAAGGTCATTTTCATATAAAGAAACATATACGTACTTGTTGCTACGGAATGCATCATAAAAGGATATTACATCTCCAATTCAGAATAATTGAATCAAGCTACCTCGTCAACCCAAAAAATAGTATGCAACTTACTACCAATACAATTGTACTAGAAAAAAAAATTATGATATGCATCCATCTTCTTTGTCATCAAATCAACCAACAGCTTTGCATCACCACGACCCACAAATTTGTCACAGTCCCTCTTATAATTTTGATACTCAACAACCGTTGGACCACAATATTCGTACCCTCTCCTCAAATATGTATGGAACTTATGAGCCCATGTGGCACCCATATTTGAGATACCAGCATCATGAACAAGATGATGATCTAAAATTTCATTTGGCGGTCTTTTCGAGTCAAATCTATATCGTGATGCCTAAAAAGAAAATAGTTATGTTCCTTTTCAAAACCGTAACACTCATATGTTGTTCATTTCATCAATCAAAACTTGACACAGGCTGTACCTTTTAATATTCGAGTTCCACACTTTTCTTTGATGTTTACGACGATTCAACAAATCGAACG